GACAGGAGTGTTAGATAGCATAGTCTATTAAAGCATGCTTCAGCCCGGTCTCAGTCAAATGTATAGACCCTTAGTTACGGCACACAGAAGAGACGGAATGGTGACAAATAATGTGGCTAAGAACCTTAAAAGAGTTTAAAACCATCAGAAATTGTCCGATTGGAGGCCCTTACAAAACAAAGGACGGAAAGGTCAAAAGTCCAATCAATTAATTGATAACGATAAGAAAGTGATTTGCACTCATCACTCAGTAAACATACATTGTATGTTTGTTTGCCGGGAACTATTATTGTTTCCTTTATTGATATTATTTCAAGACAATCAACTCTTATTTAGTCGCGGAGCAAAAGACCAATTTGTGTTCTAAACATGAACGGGTTACCGGGGCTCCGGCTCGAAGTGCAGAAGGAACGGGATGGTTTTTAGTCAGTAAGAGTCTGACACTCCATCCCGCCTCACCCGGGCGGGAGAAGTCATTCGTTGATTATCCCCCGTTTAAAAAAAAACATGTGAATTGTTTTCAAAAAATTTAATGATGAGACTTGAACGAGATTCGAAACTTAACCAATTTAACAGCATTGTTTTGGTAATCAAAAGTTGCTTTAGAAATAGTATATTATGTATTGTATGTATATCTGTATGCATAGTAATATATTCTCTACCTATTTTTTTTCTTTTTGTTTTTACCAACCTCATTTAAATATTTTTTTAAATAAATAAATAAATAAAAATATTTTTATTGACAAAAAGCTTCACATTACATATTTATATGGCTCTGGACCCCACACTAGGATTCCCTGTGTCGTGAGGCCCAGTCTCTTTCAGTCAGCAAAACAAAATACAAATGAGAGACAAAATAAAAAGAGAATTAAAAAAAAAAGAAATTAGATGAAAACGATAAATTTACAGTATTCTTTATATAATACTAATTATGGAAGTGTATGAATGTATGTGTGATTTTTAGGTTTGTGTATGTATGTATGTGTGTGTGTGTGTGTGTGTGTGTGTGTGTGTGTGTGTGTGTGTGTGTGAGTGTGTGTGTGTATGTATGTATGTGTGTGTGGTGTGTGTGTATGCTCGCGTGTTTGTAGTTGAGATATGTCGGATGAGATGTAATACCAGTGATAACTGTTCTACTGTGGGATATTGAGTATAGCCTCAGTACTAGAATAGCTAAGATTCAATAACCAAGTTGTGATTTTTTTCTTGCAGGTTTTCCGTAGTAGTGTAGCGATTTTTAGTTTAGATTGTATTTTTCTATATATGAAAGGTCCCATGAAGAGAAAGGACCTTCTACCAAACGATTTGTTGCATTTAACTGTTTGCCACTTAAGCAGTCGTTGAGATCGCGTCATAACTGCCTTACTAAGGCTATTTTTATGGAAACGTAATGCGACAGATAGAATATACAACTGCCTTACCCGGAGTATTTGAGTCTCTTGATACAAGAGATCAGTGCCATATCTGTATGGAAGACCGTGTGCGCACTTCAGTAACGCACGTTGTGCTCTTTCGGCCTTTAGTAGATACACCTTTGCAGCCGCACCCCATGATATAATGCAGTATCCAAGTATAGATTGACAGAGTGCATAGTATATAGTTTTAATAATCTTATCTGGAGCTACTTTAGTCAACCTCTTGAACACGTACAAAAGTTTCCTAACCTTTGAAGTCAACGCATCTATATGCATGGACCATGACAAGCGCTCGTCCAAATAGACACCCAAGTATTTTATATACTGGGTGTTCTCAACTACTGGACATGCACAATTGACGCGGTCCTGGCACGAGTGAAGCCTGATGGTAACTAAATCTCCAGGAGCCGTTCTCGCTGAGACGCTAAAACAGATAGCTTTGGTTTTTGCAACGTTTAAAGTAAGGAGGTTGTCATTTAACCAATTGGCGACGACCTGCAAACCCCTCTCAGTCCTGTTTATGACTTCCGACCAGGAATCGCCATGGAAGACGACTGCAGTATCATCTGCGTAGGTGAAAATTTTTGCCGCAGGAATCGCACGTGAGCACAGGTCATTGATATAGATAATAAAAAGTGTAGGGCCCAAAACGCTACCCTGCGGCACACCATAGCACACTTCCAGAACGTCACTGCTGCAATCTCCCACAACCACTCTCTGCTGTCTTTCACTGAGATATGATCGAAACCAATCGAGTGGTCCACCCCGTATTCCAAGAGCCGAAAGTTTTACAAGCAATATTTTCCGAGAAACGGTATCAAAGGCTTTAGCAAGGTCGAGAAATAGGCCGATGCATGCTTTCCCTATATCCAACTTTTGTGTGATATAGTCTACAGCATTTGTAACAGCGTCCTCAGTAGATTTGCCAGGTCTGAAACCGTACTGGTTTTCTGACAACAGTTCATGCTTCTCCAAAAATGCCAGAAGTCGCTTGTTGACCACTTTCTCCAAAATCTTAGAGAGAGTAGTCAGCAACGAAATCGGTCTATAGTTGGCTGGATCTAGCTTATCGCCACTCTTGTATATAGGACAAACATTAGCCGCTTTCATATTGTCTGGAACCCTACTCGTCGACAAACTTAGATTACATAAAAATGAGATAGGTTTTAACAGTGATTTCATACATCTTTTGTAGAACATGTTACTTAAGCCATCTATACCCGAAGAGGATGTTGTTTTTAAGTTTTTAATAATATTGCATATTTCTGCTTCGTCTGTAGGTACGAAGAAAAAAGACTGACAGACATTAGGCAAATTATTTGTCTTTTCTGCCCAAGCATTAGCCAATTGATCCTCGCTGACATTCAGATTTGCGAGAGTGCCATTAGCCAGCTTTTGCCCAACTGTAGAAAAGTAGGTATTTACGCTATTTAATTTACTAAGCAGATTGCCATCGTTAGTTAAAAGCGCAGATGTCTCTGCTTTATTATTGGAAATATTGCAAATATTTTTAATTTCTGACCAAAGCTTTTTAGGGTTGCCTTTATCTTTATTTAAACGATTCTGCTCATATTCAAGTTTAAGGTTGCTTAACGTATTGTTGCAGTGATTTCGGTACCTTTTATATTCAAGTTGAATTGCCAGATTATCACGATTTTCGGTTTTATTAGCTTTGACGTGAAGGGCATCTCTGCGACGAATACACTTTAATAAACCTCTCGTAATCCATGGCTTAAAAACAACATCAGTACTGCGCGGAGTAATAACTCTTGTGTGGTTTTTTACAAAATTTCCAAGAAATTCAGTAAATCCGGTTACCGCTGAGTCTATGTCTATGTGAGAATAAAGCCAGTTCCAGTCCATCTGAGCCAATTCAATATCAATCGCGTTATAGTCAATTTTAGTTATTTTTCTGGAGACAGGTGTTTTGGTTGGCTGTTTCTGTATACCTAAAATTACAGAATCGTGATCCGTGATGCCTGACTGACAGACAATAACTGTTGTGCTACAGCGAGATTTAACCAGTACATGGTCCAGGCAGCTGTTTTCCCTAGTAGGAAAGCTATGACCAGGATAGTATCCATGATAACCGGTCAAATCCAGATATTCTGTAGATCGTGGGTCTGTGTATCCAGCCTTAATATCCAGGTTCATGTCACCGATTATAACACATGACTGTCCAGTACCTAACGGTATGACTTTATCTAGGGAGTCACAGAAATCTGTGATATTGGAAAATGATGGGGACCGGTAAAGAGCAATAACTGAAACCTGATTAGATATATTTATCAGTAAACAGTTTGAGTTTTTGAAAGATGGCTCTTGTACAGTAATCTGGAGGTGCGATCTTGTGAAAACGACAATGCCGTCGTTCTGATTAAGGTATGTTTTAGAGCAGTGATACGTGTATCCGTCAAGGTTGAAACTGGGGGAGAATTCGTTTAACCAACATTCTGTCAGTATAATTATATCAGGTAGAAAGAGTAATCGTTTAAGAAGTGTAATAAAGTGATCAAGATTTCTATTTATGCTGCGTATGTTCTGTGAAATAATTGTATATTGTGTTTTCGTGTCTCCCAAATAGAATTTGCAATCGTCAATTGACTCAATTCTATAAGAAGTTGTAATGTCTGTCATATCGATATCAGCGGCCACATGAACCCCTTTAGCCATTTGAAGTAGTTAAATTGTCCAGGTAAGTATTAAACACGATACAGAAGCAGTCCCATACTAGGCTACAGTTTAAATGTGATAGTTCACGCTTATGTACTACTGCAAAGTGTACGATGGCTGACAATGATAGTTTGTGTAAATAATAAGATAATTTAGGGGGGGTAACGGTTTGGTTTGTTGTGTAATACAGAATAAGTTTATATATCAGGCAGTGTAGTATGTAAGCCTTGTAAGACGCAAAACTTGAAACATATGTAACTCCAAGACCATGAAAACATCTCTTAAAGTTTATATTTATACTATTTCTGTATATCGTCGCAAATGGAGCGCGTGTGTTTATGTATATAGGAGTATGTTCACTGTACTGATTTATTATGTGTACCTTATTAATTAAGAATTGTATTTCTTGATCATAGACATTTAGTTTTAATTTTATAACCTTCCCACAAAATAAAGTAAAGTTTAATTGCTTAGGATCACTACAAACCGACGTAATAATAGTATAATAGTTATAAGTACATGTTATATCCAGTGAGACAGCCGGTGAGCGATAAGGAGTCAGTTTAGAACTTGTTTTTTGTACATGGTATTGTTTATTAGCCAAAGCGTATATGTAAAAGTAGTATGATTTGTGTTTTTATGTTTAGATGTGTGAGTGATTGTGTCTACTAAAAAAAAATGTATCTATGTAATATGAAATAAATGAATTGAATTAAACTTGGAATGGACGTTGTGATTGCGAACCCCACTCACATCATTTGTTATTTCAAAACTCATGCTTACAGACTACCAATTTTTTTTAATTATACGAGTTTTATCTGTATACCAAATTTCCAAAACGAGTAACTCGTATCTAAAAACAAATATCATCACATGTTGTAAAGAGTTCTTATTTACTACACTTACCTCTTTAGAGAAGAGACTAGTCGTGCCATCTCGTGTGTCAGTCATGAACTACGTTGAATTTAGTTTTCTGGTCTCAGCTAAAACGTTGCAGCGCCGTTTTTATTCTGGAAGAAACAAAATGACGTAAATATTTTTCAAATTATAGCTAAAAGAATCTAAAACTATGGATTAATTACCTGGTTTTATGACAATCTTAAGACATTTTTTCCTATTAATGTTTAAAGCCTTTGGCTTTTATTATCTTAAACTGTAGATAATACAGAAAAGCAAAATGTTCTTGTACAAAAGCATTATCAAATAAAAATAAGTAAATTATAACACAAGTGTTCCAAATAAAGTCAACAGTGTGCGCCAAAGTATGCACCAAGGCTTTACAGCACTAAAATCGCAGAAGGATATCAGAGCGCAGAAAATTTAACTTTAAAATTTTATAGCCTCACAAAAGGCATAATTTTTGATATATTGCCGACGATGTAAAGAATGCGTCGCATAATTATAAAGCTACTGTCTCTATGGAAGCGAGTACTGTGACAATACACCGAGAAATAAATGTATCGCGGAATTTCGGCTCAAAGGACCGTGTTTTGCACTCGGAATTCGGTGATTTTTACACTAAGAGAGGGGAAGGAATCGCTCTGCTTATGTTTATCGCTCTCCGCTCTTACAGAGACCTGACTAAAAAATTATAAGAATGGCGTCGACTAGTGATCCTGTTTATATTTATTAGCTCAAATGTAGGCACTTGGCCTTTTCCAAGCACTATGTGTCCAAGTATTTTTTCTTGTTGTTCTCTTATGACTGTTTTAGAAGTTGCCATTAAATTGGCTTGATGCGTTTGTGTGAGCAATGGCCGATTTAAGGAGGACATAACAGTTTGGAGATTTTAAAGTTGGCTATATTTGTGGGGTAATTTACTCGGCTGTATATTGCGTACTCTATTAGCGTAGTGAGTAATGGTTTATTGGTATTGTTAATTTGTTTCTTTTTAATGTCTTATTTATGTGTTGGAATAACCGCGGTATTAAAATTTATTTACAGATAAGTAGGTACTATTTAGGTTTCGGGCTCCAGTTCAAAGCAGGAGTAAGAATGATGGTGTTTAGCCCGTACACTCTGACACTCTCTAGCCTCACTAAAGGTGGAAGAAGTCATTGGATGATTTTACTTATGAACTTAGAAAAATGCCCTAAGCTTTTAGATAAACTAGATTTGAAACTATGCGTACCTAACGAAAACTAAATAAAGGACACAAAAATCCAAAATTCGACATTACACAGTAAATTCAATCAACGTTATTTGTCTCCAATTTCCACTTACGAATCCGAACGACCATTTACAAATCTCATATCCCAATCCATTCCAGGACATTTCCCATTTTCCATTTCAAAAGGTTTTGCATTTTGGAAACGGTTAAAAAGTATGACATAAATCGTTATGTGGTTCTAGCTTGTAAATCGCCGCGGCTCTCTGGCGACCGCCCAAATGGTTCGGTTGCATAACCCCATAGAACAGAATACGTTACGTGAACAAAGTGATAGCTATCGAAGTTTCTAGAAGAACTTTGAAGGGTATATTGATAAAATGTACGGCACTTATCTAATGGTTAGGTAAACTAACATTTTAAGTGTTTGCTCACAAAATATAGGTAAGCAAGTTACTGTGAGTTTGTTGTGGAATTTTGTTCGTTTGTGCTGTGGAATTTTCGAGTCTTAAAGTGTCTGTTTCTGCCGCGGAAAACCTAACGGGTTACTGGGGCTCCGGCTCGAAGTGCAGGAGAAGGGACGGGGTGGTTTTTAGTCAGTAAGATTCTGACACTCCCTCCTGCCTCATCCAGGCGGGAGCAGCCATTCGATGAATTTCCCCCCTAAAAAACGTGTCTTTTTCTATGCAGATCTAGCTGAAAACTGATACTCAATTTCTACTAAGTTTTATCCTTGTATGTCCTATTAATATTATAAATACAGAATTTTGTTTGTTTGGTACTCTTTCACGTCAAAACGGCTGAAGGGATCGAGATTTTTTTTTTTTGAACTGAGGTAGATTATGGTCCGGAATAGCACATAGGCCACTTTTTATCCCCGAACGAAGCTACTTGCAGAAGTTAGTTTGGTTATAAATGTATAGCTGATGACATTAGTAAATCATTTTCTATAATTTATTTGAATATTCTTTGACACATTAACCGCTACGGAGGTCGCCGGTGACCTACGTTAGCGGAGGATTTCCCTTCAACAGTTTTCTGTCGGTAGTCAAAGGCTTAATACTCGAGGAAAATAAAATAAAGTAACTAAATTCTAACTCACCAGTCTCATCTGGCTTCATGCTCCAAAGGACCATTTTGCATGTCCTTTTTCCACGCCTGAAATAAAACAGATTCATTACAATACTACTCAAATTTCAGTACTGTGTTCTTGAACAGATACTTACTTTATCAAAGTTGTACCTCATCATGTAAAATTCAGGTCATCTGAAAACATACTCGCACAAAACATTTAGTGATTATGTTATTTCTAGAAAATATCAGTTTTACATAAAATTAGTACATTTAAAAAAATGTGATGGACCATTTCGAAATACATACATAATAATATTATATCCTGTGTTTGAAACTTAAATTAAAAAAGGGACACTGGCCACCAGATCAATCAAATCCAAATTTATTCATTAAGTGTTCGACTTTATACCAATACAATAAAGTTAAAGATGTTATAGGATACAACAACCTGGATAGGTCGACCTGCTGGCCACCGAACTAATGTATTCTCCCAATTCTAAGTAAGTAGGTACAATACTTAAACGTCATAAAGTCTATCTTCTATCAAAATCGTTAAAATTAAAACAACAGTAAAACAATACCCAAAAAATTATCAGCCAATAATTTAAAGGGCATTGTTAGAACATAACAAACATAAAATAAAAAAAGGTATGAAAAAATGATTTGTACCGAAGGACCAAAATAAGGACCAAATAATAAATATACAAAAGAAAATAGAAATTTCCTGCTGTAGTCTTGTAGTATCTATCATAGTCGATGATTATTTATGATATACAACGATTGCCAAGCCCAGTGCTCAAGTTGACGACCCAGACAATGGCCAGATAACTACAGAATCACAAATCGAATATGTAAATACCGCACAGTGGGCCAAACGTGGATAAAAAGACAAAATTGATACAATTGTTTGTTAGGCGGTAGTACTGCGACTTAGAATTAAAGTTAGCACTGTTCAATTAAATCATGTGTGATTTGTAGACAACAAGGTTCGGAGTTTAATTCTCGAGAAAACGTTGATACTAAATTGGGTAGTGGTTTACACACCTCGGGAACACACTGTAACAATTCTCGTTAGTCTACTTTTCTAAAAGATTTTAAATTGCAAGTATGAAAATATCTCTTTATAATATAGATATGATTTTTAATATCATACAAGATTTTCTATCAAGTCACTAATAAACCCGACAGTATAATCATTATCTACACTTTAATAAAAACTAAAATATCCACCAGGATAATTTTCATGTAAAAATCCGTACAAAGATGGACTTAACGACATTTATGTTAAAGTACATAATTGGCTGTCGAATGGTCCAGTCTAGACGTTACGTTATTGCCAATGATGTTTGCGACCTATTTCTGCGGTACTATAAAATAGTTACGCGTACAAGTGCTTCAATGTACTAGCAGTAACATGGTCCTTCCGTACGGAATACGGAATGGAATGAGTGTTTTTACGTTTGTTTTATTTTCAATTAGAGTCATAAATTGTTTTTGGTACAATATTTGGTATGGTCGTTTTATTTCTTTTTTGTATATTTTATGTATTTTTTTAATATTTCTATAAAATACTGTTATGCGTAGGTTAACAAAGTTTGTATAATGATAGATTGGGTTAGAGAAAACAACATGTTATGTTTTATGTCCTACTCAAGAATTCAACTCAAACGCTCATGCCAAAAATCACGACATGGCAATTTTTCTTTAGTTTTGTAACGCTTCGCCACATTGAAATTTTGGAAGCAATAACGTTTTGGATACCCTAAAATACTTCATAGTCATGGTCTATTGTCAGTATGTCAGCTTGGTCTTGGTCAGTAACAAGGAATATAACTTTATCTTCTTACGTTTGGTTCTCATCTTGTCTTCTTCTTCATCATCTTGTCATGTCTGTCCATGAATACTATCATGAGAATTTATCTCATGGTGCATTTAGTAACTGGATCTTCATCCATAACTTAGTCTTTTGGTCTGCGTGATGAATCAGTCTTTGTTTTAGTCTTTTTGTTCAGTCTGTCACTGTATAAATACCTCTATGTGCTATCGCGATGATTTCCCTCATGGCGTGTTCGGTGTCTGGGTCGTGATGTCGTGGCGGAGGCCGAGGATCGGCAGCTCGTGCCAGAATCTGTCGCACCACGTCGCGAGGCGGTGCCCCTAGTGGCGTGGGACGCGATGAGAGCCCCAGCTGGTGAAAGAGGGTTATTGTGAGATATTTTATACGATTTATCTTGGATTAAAAAGTATGAAATACATGATAACCTACATACATATAAAAATTGGGATGTTTCTGGTTTCCCATATTTTTTCGTCTTTTAACTAATCAATAATTTTATAAAGAAGTTTTATAACATTCCTTAAGTACCTAATTGCAGAGTACATAGTATTAACAAGACTATAAAAGTCTATAGAGATTAGAGATGATGTGAGACTTTTTTGTTTCTAGAAAACCAAGTGGAAAGATGTTTAGAAGAGTCCACATTTCCTCCAAGTTTAGGAGAATCAGTTCTTTATCTTCTTCAACACACATTTCTTTACGAATAACTGTTGCCTATTAGGAAGTGTGATATTACCTTGGCTAATATTTGTGACTTGATGCGCTCTAGCCTGGCAGGGTCCTGGTGGGAGTGCGCAGCGGTCGCTCGGCAGGGCGCCAGCGCGAGCGCCGCACACACGACGAGCCAGGCGCGCATCGGCGCCTAGCCGCGACGCGCGTTCACCCCGCGCCATCGAAGCCGCGCCAACGCGACATCTCCGCGCCTGCGCATCAAAATATATGAAGTACATTAAATCAGAGACTTCATAAAGACATGATAAATGAAACTTATAATCCTAAGAATGATATCTAATATTAAAATCACAGCAATGTCACTTTGATTGTATACAAATTAAATACGGTATAATTTTCGGTTTTGAACCTACATCTTACTGAACGAGCAAACAGATTGCCTGATGGTAATCGACCAGCGCCGGCAATGAATCAATTTAAATTATATTTTTTCGACAAGTTAATACGTTATATTTAGTCCATGCCAGGTTGACTTTTTAAAGTAGATTACGTTATTCTTCAACAAACTCAAGTTGTAACTTGATTTCAACAACTACTACCAAAGTATACTACCATATTTCATCTAGCATTTTCAAATTCCACATCCAACCTTCCGTACTTTCAATAAAAATCTATAAAATATGTAAATTGAATATTTGCATTCTAACCTTAGTTTAGCGATGTCTCCAAAAGTTTAGTTTCTGAACTTGGTCGGTCAGACTCTTCGTGTGAAGTCAGTTGCAAGGATTCGAACTCGATACTTTCCAGTCCAGTCGCTCAGTCAGACATCAACACTCGAACATCTTTGACAAACAAAACAGGAAATAATTAATACAATGGGCAATTATTAAGAAAAAGAGGACATTGTGGACAATTTATTTGATCATGAAAATTAGTATTGAGAAAAATAATGGTATTTAACAATTGTTAGAAAACATAGAGTATGTCTAGAATGATGTTAAGTTTAACCACCTTAACCTCTTGTCAGTCGATATATGTGGCACAATAGAAAACAGATGGTGTCTCACGTAGCTCTGCATTCCGAAAAGCAAGAGGTTAATTAAATGCCTTCTTGAGAATGATTGTAAAGAAACCATTGAATCTTGATTTGTCTTTCTTCAAAGAAGCTTAACCTGTCAAACACCGAGCGATCACCGGTGATCGCCACCTATTGTTCTTTAATTGTGTCTATAATGATGGTACTCGACGAGTTAAATGGATGTAAATATTTTAATGTTAGTTAAACAACATTCATTGTTTATATGGATTGTAGTCTCTTTTCACGAATTGTCAGTCATGTACCAAAAGACCAAATAAACGACAACATAACGGAACGCCTTTTATCCCTGAAGGGGCAAAAGGCAAAGGTGTACATTACGGCACTTAATGCCACAATAGATAGAGGTACAATGTAACACCCAATTTTCTTTCACACACATACGACAACGTAATCTGAAAAACAAAATTAAGACTTAACACAATACAGTCTTGCAAAAAAAAAAAGGTTATACAAACACATATTCTACAGTAATATTAAAGCTAATGACTCAATTAAGTCACTAAGCGAAGCGGGTAAGCAGAAAACCAGGCCATCAGTTAGTCTCGCTTGATTTATCGCTGTATTACATCAAGGGCAGGAAGATAGGGTGACACCCTTCTGCGGGTGGTAAGAGTTACGGGATGAAGCGGATTAAGGGATAGTTGTGAGAAAAATGTTAATGGAATGAAGTGAGGATGGTACATAATCAGGAGTTACTATACTAGACTTTAGTTCTAAACTCCGTAGAAGAATAAAGTATTTTTTTACACGCGAATTAACTAAGTAAGAAACAAATAGAATAATTTGAACCTGGTCTTACCTATAATAGGATAAATTGAATTAAATTAATACATTCATACACAACTTCAAGCCTGTCTCCTATGGGGGCAGGTAGATACTATGGAACGCCAATTGCTTCGATTCCTACATACCTCTTTCGCTTCATTAACAGTCAAAAATCTTTTCATGCATGCTCGTCGGTTAAAGGTACTTTTAATTTAGCCCTTTTTTAATAACATTGCTAATCTGGTAAGTAGGGCGCCCTCTACCGACGGCCCCATTCGGTGCGGTATACTTCATTAAATAATAAATTATTATTAATTTATACGCATGTCTGCTAGTTCTCTTTTCATTCCGCAGTAAGTCTATACCTCGCACTGTCTCCATAATTTTACGAGGGAGCCTCACGTCAAGTTTCACCTTGGTACCATGGTTTAACTTCAGTTAAAGGTCTCGTTACGATCCCCGGCACTTTTTAGTGCTTTTTACGGTACTTTTAGTGCTTTCGGTACTTTTGTCTGACCGACTGTGTTATGTACAATTTTCTTTTATGACTTTGGTTTATCGATGTGTCTGCTCTGCCTTTTTATGTTTGTTCGTTTCGAAGATTTTTCTTGTATTAAGTTCGATGGGTTGTTAAAATTGAATTATTTTTGCAAGTGATTTCAAGGCATTTAAGTGTTGGTTGTGGTTTTTAAATTATTGTTTGTTTAGGTTGTTTTATTTTGTTGTATTGTGCTTTTACAAATGTTAGTAATAAGCTACAACGAAAAAAATCTTAAAGATAATAAAAAATCAAAAAGATAATTAAACTTAATATAAAAAAAATATTTGAGCGCAATGCAATTAAACACCTGAGACTATCAAATTTGATTGAAATATTTTCCAATATAAAAATATTCTTTATTACTTCCAGATCACTACCTAAGTATACATACATACAACTCTACCTACCTCTTCAGGACACAGTTACGTCACATTAAGTTATAAAGTGCTAAGTGAGCATGCAATAAATCATTTTTAAATTCACCGACGAGTCTATAAGTTTATAATTCAAGGTATTGGTGGCAGACATGCGACTGCAATTGTTTCAACCCTGCAATGCTTGTGGTTGTAGTTAATGTTTTATGAATTCGTGGGTACAATTTTTTTTTTGAATAAGCTGGTAAACGAGCATACGGATCACCTGATGGTAAGCAATCGGTGTCGCCCATGGACAACTGGAACACCAGAGGCGTTACAAGTGCGTTACCGGCTTTTTGGGGATTAGGAGTTTGAGGATCGTTGGGGATTCAGGGATTGGGGAGATTGGGGACGGGGAGGGTAATTGAGCCTCCGGTAACCTCACACAAACGAGGAAACACAACGCAAGCGTTGCTTCACGTCGGTTTTCTGTGAGGCCGTGGTAACACACCGGCCGAGCCGGCCCATTCGTGCCTAAGCATGGCTCTCCCACACTTAATATCTCCACATAAAAGTCAATCACGCATTTAGAGGCTAAATTAATAAACGAAATAAAGCAAAAGCGAAAGAGACTTAACTAGAAGTTCTCATGGGATTGGGTCAAAACCTGGTCAGTTAATGGTTAGTGATTACACCGATATATACCCGCAAAATCAGAGGGACTTACAAACCTGTTGCCGGGATTTTTATTTACAAAGGAGTTTATATTCTCCCTTTTTGTAGCTTTGATGATAGTATCAGTCTAGAATTTTAGGAATAACTAAAAAGACTACTTCGTAACATACATATAATATAACATCACGTCTTTCTATCCCAGAACGGGTAGGCAGAGGTGCACATTACGACACTTAATGCCACTGTACAATGTTACACCCACTTTTCACTATTTATGTTATGAGTCCCTTGTAACACGGAGTGAGCCTATTGCCATATACCGGACAGAATTCCAGACTCCGTGCTACTACTGAGAAAAAAAAAGCCTACTTCGTCTGCAATAATAATATCGAACCCAAGGCCAAGGCCTCTTGCTAGGCAGTCGCCCTTCTTGTTTCTTCTTCCATTTACTTTATTGAATCATGTTTTTCAATTCAGCATTCAAGGTTTGATGGACTCTGTAATGCAATATGGCACGGGCTCAAGGGTACCAGCGTGATACAGCCATGAAGTGTCAACTATGTAACTGTATGTGATTTTATGTGGGTATCGTCGCCAAATAGTGGGTTCTCTCAATTTGTGGTATCTACAATGTTGATACTATAGATATTTATTGAGGTTAGAATTTTTTGATGAACAACACTTTGTGTGATCCACAAATTGATGTTTCGGGTCTGGGTGTCATTATGTATGTGAACTTGTATGTTTGTAAACGCACCCACGACACAGGAGAAAATCCAAATGTAGAGCAACGTTTAAAGAAAAGATACCTAGCAGTGTACTGTACTATATATATACACAATAATTTTAATGTCGATGTTAATTAAATTTAGTTTTTTTTTTATAATAACTATAGTGAGACGTACGTATAATAATGGAAGAATAGCGGTTCATTCACGTACATATACTAAGAAAATGTCTATTAGTTTTCTACTATATTTAATTCCTTTACTAAATCAAATAAAAAACTCTCCGAGTTCAAGAAAAATAACTTGACATTTAAACAAAACTACACCTGTTATAATCTGAAGGAAAAACTAAGTTTTTAACCGTAGACCGGTAAAGTGAACGTTTAATTCAAAGTTTTAAAAGGAAATGGGAGGGGTGGGAATTGCACCCTTTTGAACTTAACCCCCCAACCCCAGGTGGGGTGTAGTTTAATGTTATTACAACTAGCCACTTTAGATATTTATGTGGTTAATTACTTAGATAGTGTGGATTTACGAAATTAATAGATAATAACTAAGAGCACCTAAAAATTAACTGCAGTAAAACTGCGGTAAGCGAGCAGACGGATCACCTGATAGTAAGCAAGCGACGCCGCCTAAGGACATCTGAAACACCATGGGCGTTACAAGTGCGTTACTCTTTTGGGAATTGAGAATTTGAGGATTGTGCGGGATACGGGGATTGAGAAGGGGGAAGGAGGAGGAGTGAAGGTAATTGGGCTGCCAGTAACCTCAGTCACATGACGAAACACAACGGAAGCGTTGTTTCACGTCGGTTTTCTGCTCGGCCGTGGTATCACTCCGGTCGAGCCGACCCATTCGTGCCGAAAAATGGCTCTCCCACGCTATTTATATACTGCCTGTACGTATAAAGCATTCGCTAGAATTTACACAATTAGAAGGCGGATTGAAGCCTTACGCCTGTCTCCCATGGGGGTAGGCAGAGACTATGGAACGCCAATTGCTACGATTCCTACATACCTCTTTCGCTTCATCAACAGTCATCAGTCTTTTCATGCATACTCATCGGTTAAGAGTACTTTTAATTTGGCCCTTCTTTAATATATTATCAATCTGGTCAGTATATGATGTCAGTGGGTTGAAGATCGTAGTTTCAATGGTACATGTTTACTAGAATTCTACCTTTGTATAATATTTAGTATCCTAGTCAGCTCTTATCATGACTATCTCATCTCTTAATAATTAATTATTGGCTAAATAATAGGCATTTTATACGATACCTTGCTAATTATGAAAAAAGCCTAGACACTGCTCTCAAAATGAGTATGTGTCTAAAAATAGAACATCGTCCTGAAATTGATTAGCGGATACGCCCACACCAACATGACCTTTAATTTAATAGACTGTTCTAAAAATAAGAGGTCACCTTATACTGGATATTATATTTTAATAACCTGCCTATAATATTCTTTGATTACAATCCTGGCGGAGGAGATGCTTAGTTATAAATAGAACCTTATTTCTATTATATCGCAAAGTTAATTTTCGAATATTAAATTAGGCTTATTGAAATGAAATTCCCATTGGCTCAAGGGTCAAGAACTTGGCTGTCAAACTTTGAATACTAAGTTATTGAATTTGATTATATTCCCTAGCTGGGTTGTATTGGAATATTCTA